AGGATGTGCAAGTATCATAGACCACGAGAGCTGTTGCCAGCATCCTGCCTCCATAGGGGACAGCCTCTCCAATAATGGAGCCGATACACAGTGGGGCTGAGGGTGGAGAGAGAGAGAAGAGAGAGACGTGGCTCTTCCACCCTGTAAGTCCCCTTTTTGTTTAAAGGTATCCTTTCACTTGCACCTGAAAGAAGATTAACCAATACCTAGCATCTGACACAGTGGGGGAGACCTAGCAGGGGAAGTCAGCTCCAGCAGCCTCCAGCCCAGCTGCTTGAGTATGGTAGTTTAGCCAGAGAACAGTAACTCCTTGGTTATCCCCCACTCACCCCTGTCACTGTCCCACCCTGCCCCCCATCAATCTGATCACTTGTGTCTAGAATTTATTTCAACAAAAGGTTAAGGAAATGGGCAAATGCAGGGATGAATGAAATACAGCTCATGTTTCCCCTAGAGTTCTTGGTTTATTTAGGACAGATTGAGAAGCACATCTCAGGAAAAGAACAAAGAAGGTACCTTTGACTGTGCAAGGGAAGAAAAACTCACATCTGATTATTGGGGACCAGTGAAGACTTTATGGGGAAGGGGTGTTTGGGAGGAGTCGTGAAAGATGAAGAGGATTTTGGTAGGCAGAGATGGGCAGAGGCTTTACAAAGATGAAAGAGTGTGACGAAAATCAGGGAGGAGGGAAAGACTATTGGGGAATGTAGAAAAGTGGAGTTAGACTGGAGGACAGGAGACATTTACGGGAATCAGCAGCTGGCAACGTAAGTTGGTGTCATCTAGGTAGATTCTTCGAATGAGAAGCTTGTTCTTCACTCATGTGGTAACGGGGAGTTATTGAACACTGTTGAGCAGGGCTGTGCCTTGATTGGACTTACTCTTGACTATAAATGGAAGAGGGAGAGACCGAATGCGGAAAAACCACTGAGGAGGTATTAGGAGATAACCTTGGCTCAGTCATAGGGCAGGGAGAAAGCAAGGGGAGGGAAGGCAGGGAGTAAAAACAGGAAGTCGTTCTAGTTGCCGTTCATTCTTACTTTAAGAACTGTGAGATTTCTGGAGCACAGCTTAAAGTTCAAAAGTCATAAAAGCAAAGGTTGATATATTTAACTACATAAAACTTGAACATTTTAAAAATGCCATAAATAAAGTCAAAGGCAAGGAAAAACTGGGAAAAATATTTGCCAGACATATGACAGAGGGTTAATCTCCTGAATATATACAAAGACGTTTTAGAAATAAAAAAAAACCAAACAGTGGAAAAATGCACAAAGGATATTAACAGACATTTCACAGGAAAAGATACGATGGTCATTAAACATATGAAAATATAATAATTATATTAACATTTATATAGTTTTATATTCACTTAGACTTTTCACAATAACTATATGAAGAATGTATTATTATCATGAATCCCATTTTTTGATGAGGAACCAAAGACACATGTTCAGTAAATTGCCAAAGTTACCCAATTAATAAATGATTCATTTGGGATTTGAACCCAAGCAGTCAAGGACCAGAGTTTGTCTTCTGAAACTCATGCTACACTTCTTGCTCAATATCACCTATTCTAAAAGAAATTCTAAATGAAAGTATAACAAAACATCATTCTTTATATATCAGATAAAAAAGTTTGGTGGATGATTGGGAAAACTGGGAGGGAGCTAACACTCCCGTATTGTTGGTAGAAGTATGAACTGGAAAAAGTAATTTAGGAGGCAATTTGACAATATCTATCAAAATTTTAAATGCACATTTGCTTTGACCTAGACATTTCATTTCTAACATTTTTCTAAGGGATGTACAAAGGGAAACATACAGAGATGTTTATTGTGCCATATCCGTAAGAGCAAAAGACTGGGAACAAGCTACCTATCCATCAGTAGGGACCTTGGTGTATGGATTATGGTACATCCATAAGACTGGCAAGAATAATAAGGCTTATTTGTATGCTATGGAATAATTTCTGAGATATGTTCAGTAAAAAAGGCAAGGATAACAGGGGATAGAGCACGCCATAGCTTATGAATCTGTATTTACGCTCACCAGTGGACAGTGTCTGCCCCAGGGGAGGGGAGCTGGGTGTCTGGGTCAGGGATGAAGGGGAACAGGTCTTTTCACTATGCATGTTTTGGTATTATTGAAAAACATTTCTTTTTTTTTTTTTTTAAGATTTTATTTATTTATTTGACAGAGATCACAAGTAGGCAGAGAAGCAGGCAGAGAGAGAGGAGGAAGCAGGCTCCCTGCTGAGCAGAGAGCCCGATGCGGGGCTTGATCCCAGGATCCTGGGATCATGACCTGAGCCAAAGGCAGAGGCTTTAACCCACTGAGCTACCCAGGCGTTCCCTTGAAAAACATTTCTAACATGTTCAGGGATCATGTTTTCAAAGATACAAATTTACAATAAAATATAGTGCTACATGGAACAAAAACCGCAAGGGAAGATGTGGTTTCCATTTCACGCAATGTCCAGCTTGTCACCCCCTTGGTTACAATGGGCAGAAGAGGTGAGCTGTGCTGTGGGGTTGTACACAGGACTGAGGACAGAGAGCCAGGGCTTGGAAGTACGGTAATCTTGACCAGGGAAGAGATATCTTGCCAGGTGGACATTATTTTAAGATAGGAAACATGCAAACTCTCTTTTTTTTAATGTTCCATATATCCAATTTATCTCCCTTCTTCTTTAAAGCAAGCAAACAAACAAACCCACAAAGAGAATTAAAATCCCTTTTGAAAAATTCTCCTTGAACTAGGAGAAAAAGGTTTTCCCCTTACCAGGCAGAGTGGTGCAGCCATGAGAAGAGTCAGAGAAACTCAGAAGTCAGGTGTTGGCAAGCACCCATAAGCCACTGTTTTCTCACCTCTGGAGTGGTCCTTCACTAGCCTTACTTTGTGTGCCCTTCACAAGGATGCTCTGTCTTCAAGGTGGCTGGTTTGATATTCTATAGGTGGCTTAGGGAGTGTCTGAGCCAGGCTGAAGCAATTGGATGGGGTAAGAGACATGGAGTAGACTTTAGGGTGGGATGTGGGGACTTTTGAGATTTTAGAGAAAGGCAAAGGAGGAAGAGAAGCTAAAAGCCTGAGTAGCTGAAGCCCAGAAAGCAAAATGGTACAAAAAAAAGGCTAGGAGAGTGCGTTTTGGTTTTCATTAAAAAATTTATTATTATTATTACTATTGTTGTTATTTTTTAAGAGGGAGAGAGGCAGAGGGTTAGGGGCAGAGGGAAAGAGGGAGTCTTAAGCAGGCTCGATCTCAAAACCCTGAGATCATGACCTGAGCCAAAATCATGAGTTGGGCCCTTAACCAATGGAGCCACCCAGGCACCCCCAGGTGCATGTGTTTTAGAGATAACACTCTACAGAACAACTTTGTGGACTTTTTGGTGCACTTGTTCAATACTTCCTTTAGAATAAAGTTATAGAAGTTGACTATCTCGGTCAAAGTTTCTGTGAAATTTTGATTCACATCACCAAATTGCACTCCAATAAGATTTTACCATTCTCACCCAGGTCGTGTGTGTTTCCCTCTGTCCCTATACCTTTTGCCAATCATTTCGGATGAGGCAGAAGGATGAAAATTTGAGGACATTCGTATCTGACATTCTTCTTTTTCTCAGTAAGAGAAGAGAAGAGATCCTGGCCGGAGCTCAGAATGAAGGACTCGGGGGTAAGACAGGCTCAAGGAGAGTGGAGGAGGTGAGAAGAATCGAAGTGAGAAGACTCAGAGCTGCTGCTGTGGGAAAAATTAAGCCATGAATGGGAATAGGGGAGACCTGATGATGGTTTATCCAATTGTGTTTTTCTTATTTGCTTTAGGACAATCTCCTTTGTTCTGGAGGTGCCTTAATGAGGATTTCTGTTCTTAATTTTAGAAAGAGAATTGGGTGGACAATTCAGTTTAACTACAAAAGCATTAATTTAGTGCCTGTTATGTGCTGATTACAAGGCATGCCAAAATAAGGAGAACTTGGGCCCCCATCCCAAGCTGCTCCCGTCCAACAGCAGATACAGACCTGTTGTTAGTCAAGAATCACAATACTGTGTAATACAGGGCTGACAGAGAGAAGGAAAGGTTGCAGTTGTAACACCGAAGAAAGAGTAGCTTCTTTATATGGGAGAGCCATGCTCTGAGAGAAGGCTTGGCAGGGGGGCCAGGTCTGAGTCCAGGTCCCCCCCCCGCTAAAGATTTTATTTATCTGAGAGAGAGAGAGAGAGAACAAGTGGGAGGGGCAGAGGGAGAGGGAGACAGAGAGAATCTGAAGCAGACTCCAGGGGCCCACAAGTCTCCGTTTTCAGTTCTCATCATCTTCCCTTCTTCTCACTGTCTCAGAGGAATCTTCACTGTTTATTTTTGGGGAGTGTAGAGGAAGGGTGGAGAGAAGCTTTGCTCTCACTCAAGATGTTCCTCCTAAATATTTTAATCTTGCCCAGACATCAAAGCTTGTATTTTTCCTTTTCTCCCTATCACATCCTTCCCTTGCGGCAGAAGCTGCTTGTCTGTTCAGCTGGGATAGAGTGTGGGGCGTGGGGGCAGCAGAGAGCTCCTGTGAGGAAACCCGTTGGTCATTATATCCAGAATGTTTCCTGCTGTGTTTTAGTAGTTGGTCCTGAGGCCACCACCCACATGGTAGCCCAGAGGCTACCTGCAAGTAATGTAGTAAATGAAAATCACTTGGGGACCCATCTTGCAAATGAGATATCCAAGGTGGCAATTTATATTCCCAAAATGAAAATAAGCATGAGGCTGTGCGGACTAAGCATGGCCTGGGTTTCACAGAAACTTTTGTTTTTCTCGAGCAGTTGGTGGGAGACTCTGACTTAGGACCCCACTGTGGTTACATGTCGCAGTCTCTCTGCCTTGGGTCTCTGGGTCATTTAGTTTTGCCTGCACTGTCAGCCCATTTCAGGGAAGGATGAATTTTGGAGGAGTTGGTGTCCTAAGAAGTGGGGCCATGTGATTGGGGGCCTCATAGAGAGGGAGTGTCATGTTAGCCTGGGGTCCCAGACTCTGTTGTGTCCAGCTGACACAGAAGGGATCCCAGCCCGAGCCAGACAGCAACTTTCATTCAGCTTCGAGCCACATGCTGACTTGGTATCCTCCTTGGGCTGCTGCGCGTGATAGGTTTCAGGGGAGAGGCCAGTATGACCCACAACTGGGAGAGGAACTCACTGGGCACGAGAGGAACTCACGGGAGGCAGAGGGCGAGGAGAGAGAGAATAAGGGTTGCGAGAAACTGTTGAGCAGAGAGGATGGCTGATGAAAATTACAAAGTCTGATAATCTTCCATCTTCACAACTTTTCATCTGAAGCATGAAGTGTAATCAGATGTTTGAAGAGCCTAGAGAAGCAAATGAAAAAAAAAAAACACGTAAGAGTGGAAAATGGAATCTGGGGGCAGGTGCGGCATCTGTATTATTATTACAGTGAAGACAGATATTGGAACTGGCTGTGAGATTGGTTTTGGAAATCCTGTTCTGTTGCTATGGGTAAACAGGCCCTGGGGAAAAATTGCTTTTCATTTCCTGAGATAGGAAGGGTAGGAACAGGGTGGGAGGAAGTGGTCATGAATCCCTGGAGACAGCAGTATCCGAGCCCTCCTCAGCCAGGATGTTGGGTTGAAACCAGATGGCCAGTAGGTCACAACAAAGGACACCCGTCAGTGGAAGGGCACGTCCTGGGCCAGGGCTTCCCACGTCTGGTGTCAACACACCGGTGGTCAGGAATGGCGGTCGGTCAGTGTTTCTTGAGCTCCTGCTGTGTGCTCGGTGAGTGTGTTGTGGCACACAACCTAGGCCGTTCACATCGTATCCCAAGTGAATGCCATTCCTTGGAGCGTGTCCCAGTTATTTATTGTTGCATGACAAACCACCACAAAACTTAGCTTTTAAAAGCAACAGTTTATGATAATTGCTCATATTCTTGTGAATTGATGGGGCTTGGTTGGGTGGTTCTCACTGAGGGTTTTTCATCTGGTTTCAGTCAGATGTCTCTGGGACTGCAGTTCTCTGAAGGCTCAGTGGGGCTGGGCGTTTGAGGTGGTTCACTCATGCGACTGGCTGTCCACTTGGGACTCAGCCAGGGGCCATGGACTTACATGTCGCTTCTCCGTGTGACTTGAATTTCTCACAGCATGTTGACTGGGCTCTGAAGAGGGAGGGAGTGTCCTAAAAGCAAGTGTTCAAGAGGTCCCAGCATTATGACGTGGTCTTGCAGGTCTAAGAATGTCATTTCTACTGAGTTCTGTTGGTCAAGTCCAGGTTCAAGAGAAGGGAATTAGACTCTACCTCTTAACGTGGGAGTGACATGAAGGAAGAGGGAGGTAAGGAATTGATGGTGGACTCTTGGGAGGCAAGCTACCACTCACACTATGTAGGACCACTTAGAAGAGTCCTGTGCTTGGTCCAATGCTCTGTTGTCATCATCTTGTAATTTTTAATCATTGTTAACAAGGAGCTCCTCTTTGCATTTTGCAACAGGCCTTGCAAATTAGGTAGCTTGTCCAGTATAAGCCACATTGTGAAATATTTGAGCAGCATGGTGAGGGGTAGGCCTGTGCTGGGCTCTGTGCTCTGCAGATGGGGTTCCTGCCCGTGGAGAACTTGCAGACTAGGTGAGGATAGGAGACTTACAGGAAACACTGAAGCTAGTGAATGACAATATCTGAGCAGAAATTACGCTGTGGTTCCAAAGGAGGGCCAAGATGGCATTGGGGAGGTTCTTCTTCTCCTTCTTCTTCTTCTTCTTCTTCTTCTCCTCCTCCTCCTCCTCCTCCTCCTCTTTCTTCTTCTTCTTCTCCTACTCCTTCTCCTCCTCCTCCTCCTCCTTCTCCTTCTTCTTCTCCTTCTTCTTCTTCTTCTTCTTTTAAAGATTTTATTTATTTATGTATTTGTCAGAGAGAGAAATGGGCTCCCTGCTGAGCAAGGAGCAGATGTGGGACTCGATCCCAGGACTCTGGGATCATGACCTGAGTCGAAGGCAGTGGCTTAACCAACTGAGAGACCCAGGCATCCCGGGGAGGTTCCTCTTATTTTGCTTATTGTCTTGGGTTATATTTAGACTCTCAACCCATGTTGGGTAAAGCCTTCCTTCTCTTCTAGGAATTTCAGAAATGTCCTCTTACTCTTCCCGCTGGGCCTTGTCCCTTACCCTTATTCCTAGGACCCTTGTGCTGAAGGCTTTGCAGGGAGGGGCTTTCCATCTGAGGACTGGCTCCTAGGTTGGGGATAAGGGAGAAAAGGAGATGCAGAGGCACATGAACCTAAAGCCTAGCTCAAGCTTAAAATCCTGAGTCACTGGAAGATGCCAGAAGGAAGCTGGGCCAAAGGTGGTCAGATTTTGGAGGAGGCGATGGAGGGAAGGGAAGAGAAGAGAGAGCTCTCTGGTCTCCTCTAGGGAGCATGGTGAGTTCTCTGGTGACCTGGACAATGCCTCCCTCTTAGTCCTCAGGCAGATGCCTCACCATTCAGCAAAGCACAGGGCATTCCTTTTTTTTCCCCAGGGTAGGAAATGGCTCAGAGGCCTGGACCCAGCCCAGCCCCTAATTAGGGCACAAAGCCAGACAGCCCCCGAGGGAGGGCACCACCTCTTTACAACACTGCCCAGTTTCCTCCAGGGGGATCTTCCTGCTGTGATGCGTGTACAAGATAACCTTCTGTGTGTATACACTAACAGGGCATCAGAGGCTAATGATTTATTTCTATCTTTGTAAGGCTGGGAGGTCTAAGGAGGGCATTGCTCCTTGGGAAGGCGGTTCCAGTATTTCTCTAAAACAGAGACACATGCAACTGGCCCATCCAAGGCCTGGTCAGTCATTGTTCTTAGTTGGTAATTGCCTATTTGTCCTTGACCTTGGTGGGCTGCTCTACAGGATCTACATTTCCCAGTCTCTTTGCCTTTTGGCTTCCAGGGAAGTTCACTCAATGTGGGGGGTGGGGTGGTTGGGGTGGTCCTTGGCAGAAGATGAGAAGGAAGGAGGGGGAAAGGTAGAGCATTTCTTTCTCTCTGCTTCCTTTGGTGTCTTCAGGAGAATCTAGATCTTTTCATGGCTCCAGCTCTTATCAGATGACCCCTCTCTCTGTGGTTGCAGTTCCCACTGGACAGGCTTTCTCACTTTTCTTTCTCCCTCTGGCCCTAGAGTGGAAGTGACTTCCTCCCTTGCTCCTGTCTGGATTGTCTTATCATCCCTGTGTGGCTTCTTAGCTCTTCATCACTAGGTATCGATTTTGTTTCCTCCAACAGCTATCTCTGGTCATCTGCCTTTTATGTATCCAGGAATCCCTAGAGGTGAGGAAGGGTCCTGTGACCCTGGCTCTGGATGGAGTCTACAAACCTTAGCTCTGGGTCCAAATGTTATGCACACCAGTAACTGTATTCTAATCCTGAGAGCAAACTGAGAAGGCAGTTGGCCGGTTCCCACCAAGTCCAGGTCCCTAGTGCTCCTTGGACCACCTGGCTCAGGACGAAGAGGCCCAGCCATGGCGGGGAAAGGCATAGTATGGCTGATGTGCGCAGAGGCCGGGGTGGGGGTAAGGTGTGCTCCGGTGACTGCTTTCCACCTTTATGAGGTCCCCTCATCTGGTGCCCACTTTCACTCTTTGTGCTTCTATGCTTTGGTAGCTAGCGACTAAGAGTATGTGTGTGGGTTGAGAAATAGTATAAAAGTGTAGCTCAGGGGCCCATGTAGATGCACAGTGTGAGGCCGACTGGCCTACATGGATGAATACGAATTAGGTTTCCATATCTGTAGGGATGTGGGTCCAGCATAGACAAACCTTGAGCATGGTTCCCAAGGTCACTTGGTCTCTAAGACAAAGTCTTCAGGGTCACTGGTAAGTCACCAGAACAGAGTTGAGGAAGCAGTTGTTAGCTGGGCCTAAGAAAGAGACACATGGGAGCCGAACCCAAGGCAGGGGCTATGGGGACCTTTCTTTCCTTCTCTGGGGTCCAGCTCCCTCCAACGGTGTTGATCACTGCAGCTCCCTCCACTGGGTACATGGCAGAAGCCTGTGGCCAAGTCATTTGCCAGATGACAGTCGGGGGAGCTGTTGGTCCCTGATGGGCTGGCTTTCTATTAAAAAAAAAAGCCTGACCCTATCTATTTTGGTTCTTCCTCATTAGCAAGTAGGATTTGGGAGAGAAAACCAACAAGCAAAGGGGAAAGAATCAGGAAAACCGGTGCAGGAGCTGGACAGAGAAAGAGAGAGAGAGAGAAGTTGCCCCATGATGACCTTCAGCTTCTCTCGCCTGCATTCCTCTTATGGTGAGAGCACAATCTCAGGCCAGCCCTGAAGGCTGTACTGAGGAGCCTGGCCTGGGCCCAGGGGTCAGGGGTCAGGCTGGACCACGGTAGGACCTGCTCCATGCAGGTCTTCTCTCCTTCTGAAGCCTGGAGACCAACCTCTGGCGATGTCCCCTCTCCCTTCTTTTTCTGGGCCTGCAGCCTTGTCTCAGTAATCTGTCTGGGGCCCTGCTTTATTCTCCCTGGCCTCTTCCCCACTAGATCCAGCCTCTGGTAGGGCTGGGATCTGTGGAGGGAACTTCACAATGCTGCGTGCCTGCTTCAATTTCAGAATACTCCTCTGGAATTGCCCATTGGTGTGGCCCATCTGCTGGTTGGGACACCCTGTTACCAAATGCGGGAAGATCTGCCACTCCCCTCCCCCGCTGCCCACGGTTGCCGGGCTGCCACCTGCTGTGTGTTTCCACACCCTTGCACACTGCATTCTGCCTGTCACTCTGGATGGCTGCCCAGCAGCTGCAGCTGAGACTGTCCTGCCAGCACCTTCCGCAGCCCGATGGGTGGTCCTGTCTGGTCCTGGCCCTCCCAGCTGGCCTCATCTGCTGCGTGTGCTGAGCTGCATCTGGCTGAACACACTGCTTGAGTAGCCTGGATGGGCCCGGCCACCTTGACCTCTAGGGAGATGGGCATCCTCCCTCAGGACTTCTTGGAAAGGGTCAGGTGTGGAACCCAACAGTATAAGATAATAATGGTGACGACAGCTCATGTTTTTTGAGGACTTACGAAGTGACAAGCTCTGTGATTTACCCACTGGATGTATACCTCACAACTACCCTGTAAAATAAGGATTATTATGTCCCCATTCCACAGATGAAGAAACCAAGGCTGCATGATACGAATGAATCCATGCGAAGGTCCCACAGGGCATAATTTATGAAGTAAGGATTAGGCACTTTTCCTTTTTGGTTCTGCTTTCTGGGCACCAGGAAGAAAAAAATAAGAGAGGACATTTTTAGCCTTCAGGTAATTAAGACCCAAGAAACAGAAGGGAGGAGGATGGATTGGACAAGTCTCTGCTGAGGACAGGGTGGGCACATGAATAGACCATTCCTCCTTGTCTAGATGAAGGTGGCAAGGTGACATGGGATCAGGAACTTTCCTTCAAAAGGTATGGGTTGTAAATAATTGCCTGCCATGTTTTTGGAAGACTTTGGCCCCCAGTGGGGGAGAATCTGCATTTGCACTGGCTTCTGCCACCAGCTTCTGCTCCTCTTAGGAACACAAGATCCCCTATGTCCTACTGCACTCTACAGGCTGTGATGGGATCCAGCAACAGGGTTATAGTTGCAAAATGGATCAGGCTTTGTGGGCTCCCGTGGTTGGTCTTGGGGTCCTACCATCATCCCAACTGCCCAAATTGTCATTTTCAGATAGTCCAAAACATTCAAGAGGAAATTCTGCCTTTTGGTGTTGCCAATTAGGGAGCCGTTTTGAAGGGGACCCTGTGATGAAGAATTCCACTGTGAGGGTGCCATGAGGGCCCATGGAGCCAAGGCACGATCCGAGTTACACAGGTGTGCCCCACATGGTAGGCTGTGTGTACGGCTGCCTGGGCTCTGGAACCTGCGGGGCCCTCCGTGCTTGGAATAGTCTGGATCTGCTAACTTGGCAAAAATGGGGGTGGGGGTTGGTCCCCATCTGGAGGGGGAGGGAAGGAGCTCCCGGTGGCCGGGCCGTAGAGGGGCTTGCCAGCTTTGCCCACAGCCCTGAGCTCCCCCTTCTTTCCCCTCAACCACAAGAACAGCGTAATTCTCCTCACGTTACAAGTAAACATCTGGCAGCATCTGCCATGCTCAAATAAACCAAGAACTAATAGGAGGCTTTTGTAACCACAACAGGTCCTGGATAGGGAAGGAAGGGGTGGTTCACTGTGTGTAAGCCAAAGCTGGCTACTTGCGGAGCCTCGACTCCTTTGTTTCTTGATGGGTGGTTAATTAGTCGATCAGTGCACAAGCTCCTAGAGGGGCCTGCTGGTACAGTGTGCCATGGCTTTCAGGGCAGGTCCCAAGGACATCTCATGAACCTTGTGGGGCCAGATGGTCCATGGCACAGTAGGGACTGGGAATGATGGTCAGTCCTGAGGAGTTAGCTGCCTCTTGCTGCACATCCGGGGTCAAATTACCCAAGGACCTGGGAAGAGGGAGAGAACAGTGTGGCAAACCAGCGCGGTCACTGCAGGGAAAAGGGCCATCTTCCGGAAGCAGAGCCTACCTGGGTCAACCCTCTGAAGCTGGTAACGCGTCTTGGAAGACACGACAATATACACAGTGACTCCTCAAGTCTGATCGACAAGCTGGAAACAGCCTGGGTCTGGCTGGCAGCATCTGACAGCTCTGATGGGGCTCTGGGATGAAACTGGCCATATTCGAATGGCATCGAATCCACTCCTCCTAGCCTGCTAAGTGTAAGCGACAGACAGAAAAACAAATTAATATCACAAATGTCACGGACTTTCACGGTCTGGCAAGAGAAAGGCTTCCAGCCAGGGATGGGCTCACAAGCCTTCAGAATTCTGAGGACTACTAGCCTTCATCACCCCCATCAAACAGCCAGAAGTGGTGTAGGGCTCACTGGAGAAGAGTGAGCAGGAGCACACGGGGAAGGTCCAGGTGCCTGAATGCTCAGAGATCAGGCAACCGGCTGTAACTTCAGAAAAGGGTTTTATGCTGAGGGTTACAAATTGGCTGCCAGCTGGCTGAATCCAGCTTGTAGACATGTATTAGAAGGCCCACAAATGTCTTTATTTTTGAATTTGAATGAGAGGCCAAAATGTGCAAATCAGGAGAATCACACACACACCAAACAAACAAACAAACAAAAACAAAAAAAAGAAGAAAAAACCCTCATAGTCCCTTGAAATACCTATGCGCTCAGGCCTAAGTTCTCCAGATGGCACCAGGCAGCACAACTCCTTTCCCGCCCTGCTGGCCTCTACAGTCATTTGTGATTTCAACTCTAGTATTAAGCCATCAAGCACGTTTTATGGATCAGGGAGTTAGTAGGGCTGACTTTCCAGAAGTCCAATTTAAATGAAGGTTATATAACAAAATGGGAGAGAGATTTTGCTCCTACTTTAGGTGAAAAGATCGAGCTACTCCTTTAATCCACTGAAACAATTACCTAATTAAAATCATTTTTTTATTAAGCAACATCACAACATGCAAGAAAAGTTTAAAAATTTAAAAAAATGCTAATTGGATTGTCCTCCCTGCAAAATTTTTCATCGTGTGCATTCCTTTCAGTCTTTTTTTCACACACATTTTTCCATAGTTTCATATGTGGGTGTGCATCCTGCTTTTTTCATCGACCACTGTAATTTACATATTTTACACCATTGCCTTCTAATCCGCATTTTTTGTTATTCTAAATAACATACGCCTGCATTTGGATCTTTTTGTATTTTGAAGTATTTGCTCAGAATATAGTTTCGGAAGTAGCATGAATGGGATATCTATATATGTGTGTGTGTGTGTGTGTGTATATATATATATATATATATATAAACAGCTTGCAAATTAAAGAGTTAACCTGGAAATTCCTAACCCACAAGTACCTTATATGAGTCTCTTCATCTCAGCAAATCATTGGAGAGGTTGTAGGGAAAAAAAAGTTCATTTCAGCATCTGTGATAGGATTGTGGGTAATTAAAAATAAAAAAATTCAGCATGTGAAGTCCATTCCGGGAATAGCACTATCTTGAGACCCAAGTCAAATAGTACTAAATGTGCTAAGCAGAGGCCCGTGTTTAAAGAAGAAACTCATTTGCTCTTAATAGCTGCAAAATGCCACATAGCTCGACGATGGAGTCAGAAGACTCCGGAGATCATCAAAGCCTGGTTCACAACGATAGGGGAGGCCAAGCTACAAGACAAACTGTCTTTCCCCATTAAAGCATCTTTGTGCCCTAAGTATGAGAGTCATTTCTTAGAAGAATGGCTGCCTTTAAAATTTTTTATTGATGGGAGGAAAAAAAAAAAAGCTAAACAGGACCAGAACGTTTAAAGGTATTTTATATCCTATAAACAACCTAAAGAGGGGTGTAAACAAGGTGATACGTCATAAAATGAAATGTGATACAGATAACCTTACCACTATCTTCTGCAGGAGTTCAGACGACTAACGGCACCTTAGATCTCCGAGTCGTGGAAAGCAAGCACACTGTATTTTCATTTTGCCTACACGTCTGTGTCCAAGGAATTCAGGAGACTGACCTGACGGAAGGGCAGGACGAAAGGAGAGTCTCTTCTCACGACTGGTCTCCTCGGTGCAGAAGAGCCTCAGGGTGCCCCAGGGGCTTCTGGGAAATGGCGCCCAGGTTTTGTTCCCATGCCAAGCCGGTTGGCAGCACCTCTCAGGGCGGGATTATGGAGCACTTGAGCAAGTCCCACCTCCTGTAGAAAGGCAGCCTGTCTTCGGTGAGGAGAAATCGTGCTTCCCTAATCTACTAGAGCCCTTTGAAGGGCCAAGTAAGTGTATGGAGAAGGGGGAAACAGTAGACACACTCTGTTTACACTTTCGCGAAGCTTCTGACAGCCTCCACCCCAGAGCCTGTTGAGTCGCCATGGGAAGGGAGGAATGTCTGGGGACCATAAGGAACTGGCTTAGAGATAAGAAAGATGGAGTAAGGATAAATAAGCCTCTCTCTGAATGGAAAAGTGTTCATGGTAGGGCTTCTTGGGGGGGGGAGGGGAACCGATGCTCCTGAGTGTCCCAGTTAACCCAGTTAACTTGCCTCTAGTGACTTGAGATGGGACCATTAGGCGCTCGGCTTTCCCAAAGCCATATGTGCGCATCAGCCTCCTTGCCCTATCCTCACAGCTCCTCCCTCGCCTTGTTGAGCTTGTGACAGCTCTAGTGACATTTTTGTGACATTTCTAGTGACATCGTGAGGTCCTGAAAGGCAGGGGGCATGTCTGATAATTCAGTATTCATGACAGTGATTAGTACTTAAGAAACATTTTGTGGCCTGAGCCCTCGAGAAGGGGGGAGCTGCACACTGAAATTGCCTGGCTTGCCAGTGATGTCCTCCCCCTGGAGAAATCTCAGCCAGAAGCTGTAAGTTATCTGCAGGAGACTCAGGACACTGGTGAGTGGTCTGGTGTTCAGCACAGGCGAGGGCCAGTTGAGGAAGGCATTAGATGAAAAATAACTCAAATTACACTTTGTTTTTATGATATATTTTTTGTTTTTATTATACATACAGAATTGTTTTTATTATACATTACACATTTTATTATGTATATATACATATATAATATATATGTATATAATATATAATATGTGTACATGCACATATTATACATTATACATTTTATTATACATCGCACAGAGAGTACATATAGATGTATGTTAGTGTCTCTATCAGTTTTGAGAAGAGTAGTATAAACTGTACTTTTGAGGGTGACAGAAGCTCTCAGTGATAGCCCAAGGAAGGGTTTTGGGTCCCTATAATCCCGTGCTGCTTAACCTATTTTCATGATTGCCCCCTCCCTTACCAAGTCCTTTTGTGGATACTTTTATCCTAATTGCACCACCCCATGAAATTCTAATAGCTTGGATATACCGTGTATCTGTTTATATACTGTGGACCTTTGGAGGGCCGCCAGCCAGTGGGATTTCTAAGATTTTTTCATGTCCCGAGAGCCCAGTTTGGTCTCCCTGGGGACGATCACAGCCCTCATAAGAATGCAGGCTGTTGAGGACTCCCTGACTGTTATGGACCTCACATCAAGGTCCCTCTGGCTTCAGGTGGGTTTGTCCAGTGGAGAGCTCCACAGGAGATGGGGATGGGACAGAGAGGTGGGGAGGAGAGTAACACAAGAGAACATATTCATCTGGCTCCCTCCTTGTGAGGCCACCCCGCCTGGCTGTGTCCTTTGGTCACTTGACTCCTAGGTTCTCTGGGTTCTGGTAACAGATTATATTTCCTTCCCTTGGGAGGGGTTCGTAATGGCTCTACTGCTACTGGCCCCAAGTTATGGCACTATCCCTCGGGGTTCCCCTGTATCTACATGTTTATAAATCTATCTTATGTTCAGTGTGCTTTCCTGTTCCTGTTGGGACCCTGGATGAGAGACGGGGAGGTCTTATCACTATACCTCAGAAGACGACCCTGGAGCTGAGAGGAGGCCAGCAGAGGTAGGTGAGTGATGGAGGGTGGGAGGAGGTAGGATTGGGCAGGAGGACAAGGGATTACAGTCCTAAAAAAGGAGGCTGAGATGGGCCTTGTTCTGATTTATGGAGTGGGGTGAGAGAATGAACTCTTGGACATGGTCATTGGGGATCCTCTAGAACTTGAGAGGTAATTTTAGGAAATAGTGTGGTCGCTGTCTTTCCCATAGTTGGGATTTATCTCGCACTTTCTCCACCTGATGGTGTAGCATTGGCCTGGATTCACAAAGAAGTTACCAGGGGAAATGAAAGTCCTGTATGATAGGCCTCAAAGATGTCTTTGGAAAAAAAAAAAAATGTCTTTGGGGAACACTCTCAGTCTTACAGAATGAGCCAGAAAGGCAGACCTTGTTTCCTTAAATTGCCTTGTGGGTTTTCTATCAAAGGCAGGTGTATTGTGGGTCTGGGAATCCTTCCTAAGGGAAGTGCAGTTCTGAGACATCACTGATCTGGGTTCGGGGGAACCCTGTGCTCCCCCGTGAGGCAGTGGGGAGAGGGGCAGGAACACAGGTTTTCAGATGCTAACATCCTGGCTCTTTATCTTCTGGGCCATCCCCTGCTTCAGAGCAGCCACGGGGATTAGATGAGAAAGTGCACCTAAAGGCAGCCTGGCCCTCTTCCTAGCAGACTGAGTAGTCTCATGCTTCAAGTCTACCAAGCCCTTTGCCGGCTCTGCCCCTGGGAGCAGGGGGCAACCAAGCTTTACATGCTTGGGCTCCAGACGCCAGAGAGTGAAAGCAGGAAGCCGTTGTCATGGATGGCGGGCGGGTGGGCACATTATCCTGAGGCCTCCTAATCCCATTTTCTGCTTTCATGTTAATCCTCTTCCTCCTGTCTGCCACACACTCAACTCCCAGGGCACTGACCCGGAGAGCCCAGCTCCACCTCCTCCCAGCAACGGCAGTGCTCCCCATCGGGGGTGCTGGAGGTGGGGCGTGGGGACAGCCTGGCTGTGCCTCAGTCCTCCCCAGCCCACATGACAGTCTTCCTGGCCAGGTCGCAGGTGAACACTGAGGGCTCAGCTCACTCATAGCAACAACAGATCAACCAGTACATCCTGAACACTTACTGTTTGCTGACACTGACGGAGACCTTTACTTACATGATTTCATTTGGTTCCCATAACGCTCCTGTGAAGCACGTATTATTTATCTGAAATTTGCTGATGAGGAGACAGAGGCTTGGGGAGTTGTCACAGCCCAGATGACACAGAGAGCAAAAACTCAGGACACGTTCCTCCAGAGCCTCTTGGGGGATCAGTCCCACATGACCCCTCTCCTGTTGTTTCCTACTTGCCCACCCCTGGAAGGACCTACCTCTGGCTTCCCTCTTCTGGAAATGTCACCTGAGGCTTCAGTTGGGTGAGTGTATTTCTCTCAGACACAAGGCCCCGGGGATCACCGTCTGCACACAGAGCGGAAAGAGCATAGACTTTGGGGAGAGGGGGTGTGGTTCTGGCTTCCGCAGGAAGGGGACAAGATGTACCCAGGAACTGAACGTTTTCCAGGGAGACAGGTGGCTGGCTACATGGTAAATGGCCATCTGGGTGGAGGGATGATTTTGCCTCAGGCTTCTTATTCACTGTCCCCTTCCTTTTCAGGGCACTCTGTCAGGTCTCCATTCCCAGCTGCGAATCCCTTTTCTCTACTCACCAGGACTGAAACTGGCCATTTTTGTCCCCAGATTCCTAGGTTCTGAGGCAAGTTTCACTCGCCGAGGAGGAAGCAATCCACCATCCCCTCAGCCGTCTGTGCCTGAGTCTTTCTGAAAAAGTTAAATGTGCTCTGGAGCTCCGTTTTTTAAAAAATGTATTTATTTATTTAGATTTTCTTTATTTGAGAGAGAGAGCACAAGTGAGAGAAAGCAAAAGCGTGCGGGGGGTGGGGGGGGTTCGGCGGGGCAGAGGGAGAGGGAGAGGCAGGCTCCCTGCTGAGCAAGGAGCCTGAGAGTTTCGAATCCAGGACACTAGAATCATGACCCGAGTTGAAGGCAGATGTGTAACTGATTGAGCCACCCAGGAGCACCTGGACCTCCATTTCAGTTTGTCACCCACTCCAAGTAAGCAAGGGCTCCCCAAGTTTCACGTGGATTGCTCTTGCTGCAACTCTCCCGTCTGGGACAGGCTTGGAAGTTAGGGTGGGATTTGAATGCTTACCAAATCCCTTACTAGCTGTCATCTAGGCTTCAGTTTTCAGGTCCGTAAAATGGGATTGACAATTGTACCTTGCTGAGGCCAGAACCTGCCCCTCTCCTTGGGCCACTTCTAGAAACTTCTAGAGCCTAGAAGGCAGTTCTGGGTTCATCTTCAGCCTTCTCTTTCCTTCCTGAGCCACACACTTCCTGGGCCTTATAGGCCTATCTGCTAACTGTAATCAGGGTCTTTGCTTCCCTCTGGGCTGTACAGACCCTGCAGGCTTCCCTGCCCTAGTCCCATGACACCACCTTGGTCTCACTGTAGTGATGTGGGTCCTCCTATCCTCAAGACCCCATGTGCTGGTTGGTAGCTGGAGAGTAACAGAGGGCAGTGGAAATCTAACACTGTACTGCATGGGGCAGGCTACACATGTTGTAGCGAGTGAATTCAGCTGAGGAAAGGGGTCTGGAGGCTGAAGAAAGCAGAGGTCCTCCGTGGAAGGGTGGGGCCTGAGGGGGGTGAGCATGGCTGGGATCTGACTTGGCTGGGTCATGGGGTGAGCTGCTGTGGTGGCTCTGATCTCCCCACAGTCACCAAGTCCAGGAAGCCAAGGGCAAGACGTGGTATGTGTGGGCCGGGCACCATGGTAGGGAGTTGCAACCTGGAGGGTCTGAGTAGCATCCCTGATTAGGATTCCAGAACTAAGACTGCTTCCTCAATCCCTTAGAACTGCAGGGCCATCTAGGACATGAGAGCTTACAACAACCATATCTGTTGAGGAGAAATCGGGTTCTGAGTTAAAGTTTGGTTATTTTTTAAGTCCTCAAAGGTCCGTGTGCTTTGAAAATATTCTAGAAGCAGAATAAGGGCACAGGAGAGAAGATGCAGGATTCAACTTAGAAAATGTGTATCAGTTAGGTTGGACTCCCTCTGGCCTCAGTGTGATTGATCTTGAACACTTAGCTCCTCAT